TATGTAGTAGCAACTTTACATGGCAGCTCAATCTAATGTTAGCCTAGAAAAAAGTGCACTGTTCACGTGTTTGTGCGGAGTGTGGAAGCTGAACAGTAGCGTGCGCGCGCTTGGGCTACTGCATGACAGATGGAGGCGCCGGTGCGATCATGTGTCCTTAAAACACTTCGCCATTTTTGGTCATACAGATAAGAGTAATGCATCTTTTGTATCTGTAAAGACTCTACGTTTATTCGTGTGCACTCAGAATAAGAACGAAACGTTGCACTTTTGTTAAATAATGAAAGCAAACAGGATGCACTTTCTGCCGTCTCGGACTCTGTGAACTTGAGTGCGTCACTTCGAAACTCCATGTGTGCTTGCCTTATTACAGACATGAAAAATATATCTATAGAGAGTGAAACTTTTAAATGAAAAAAATTCAAATAGAAAACAAATATTCTCAGATTATGTAATCCGTATGAAACATGCATACAGGCGCATACTGTGGAGACGACGAGTCAGTGTCGCCGACTTCATCTCTTAGACCGAAAACAGAAAGCACTAGCGTAACAATAAATTATTAAAACTTTAATGCAGTGTACTTGCTGTTTTTACCTAACACATTCATAATTATTATATTTGCCGGTGAGCTGTGGCAAGCCTTTTTTTGTGTGCGCTTGAGCGCTTATAGGCTATGTAGGCAATTAAAGGCTCATTATTATGATTTATATGGTTTATTAATAAAAGTGCGACTAATAGTCGACTAATGCTTAAAATGAACGTCTACTAGTCGACCAGAAAAATCTTTAGTCGAGGGCAGCCCTAATGCATATTGACTAATTGTTTACGAGAAGCATACATATAAGAGGCTGACAATTAGCTGAATATATACTTGTTTAATTAGTGACACTTAGCCTGCATTTTAAAATCTTCGGGCATGGCAGTACAAGGTCCTCCCCTTCGGGCTCTCCCTGTCCCCTCGTGTCTTCACGAAGGTCGCGGAGGGTGCCCTTGCCCCACTATGGCAAGTGGGCATCAGCCACATCGTGTCACCATCACACCGATGTGTTGCCACCTATTCAGCCCCTGGTCGGACCTTGCTTTTCTACGGGCCGGGGTACCCTTAGAACAAGTGTCCAGGCATGTCGTTGTCACGACAGATGCCTCCAATACGGGCTGGGGCGCTACGTGCAACGGGCAGGCAGCTTCGGCATTGACACATCAACTGCTTGGAGCTGCTGGCAGTGCATCTGCTGCTGGACAAGCACGTGTTGGTCCGCTCAGACAACACTGCGGCTGTTTCGTACATCAACTGACAGGGCGGTCTACGATCACGTCGTATGTCTCAACTCGCCCGCCATCTCCTCCTCTGAAGTCAGATGCGGCTCAAGTCGCTGCGTGCCGTCCACATTCGGGGGAGCTCAATCGTGCAGCTGACGTGCTCTCACGACAGCTCACTTTCCCCGGAGAATGGCGACTCCATCCCGAAACGGTCCAGCTGATCTGGAATCGATTCAGGGAAGCTCAGGTGGACCCGTTTGCTTCCCACGAGCCCTCCCACTGCCAGTTGTACTATTCCCTGACCGAGGCCCCCCTCGGCACGAATGCACCGGCACACAGCTGGCCTCGGGCTCTACGCAAGTATGCGTTTCCCCCAGTGAGCCTGCTCGCACAGACACTGTGCAAGGTCAAGGAGGACAAGGAACAGGTCCTGTTGGTTGCGCCTTACTGGCCCACCCGGACCTGGTTTTCGGAACTCATGCTCCTCGTGACAGCCCCTCCCTGGCGCATCCCCCTGAAGAAGGACCTCCTTTCTCAGGGGCTGGGCACCATATGGCACCCGTGTCCAGACCTCTGGAACCTCCACGTGTGGCTTCTGGATGGGACGCGGCAGACTTAGTGTCTACTACCGCTGGTGGCCGATCACTTATCACTCAGGCTAGAGCTCCCTCTACGAGGCAGGCCTATGCTTTGAAGTGGAGTCTGTTCACGAATTGGTGTTCTTCTAACCGAGAAGACCCCCGGAGGTGCTCGGTCAGAGTCGTGCTTTCTTTCCAATTCGTGGACCGCACCCAGAGTTTCAGAAACTCTGAGCAGCTCCTTGTCTGCTTTGGAGGTCAGCAGAAAGGGAAGGCTGTCTCCAAGCAGAGGTTGGCCCACTGGATAGTGGATGCCATCGCCTTGGCGTACCAATCCCAAGGCGAGATGTGGCCCCTGGGGGTGAGAGCCCACTCCACTCGGAGTGTTGCCTTTTTCTGGGCGTTGGCGCACGGCGCCTCTCTGGCAGACATCTGTCGAGCTGCGGGCTGGGCGACACCTAACACCTTCGCAAGGTTTTACAACCTTCGTGTAGAGCCGGTTTCTTCCCGAGTGTTGGGTAACAGGAAATTGGCGGGAAGATCTGGCCCGGTGTCACGCTTGCTGCGCCATTCCCCCTCACACGGAGATGCGAGCACTTTTCTTCTCCCAGTAGAGTTCTCCGGTTGGTGAACCGTGGTTGAGCATCCTCCAGCACCCTCGGCAGTCAGACTTGGCAAGCAGTCTGAGGCCAGGCCCTGTACTGGGCTAGGTGTCCATATGGCTTGATTCCCTACGGGTAATCCCATATGTGTATTGTTCCACAGTAAGGTTTTTCTCTCTGTAAACCCATGTCTTCCCTTGACAGACACGCTCTGTCAGTCTCTTCTGGCAGTTGTTCCATCCCTACTCTAAGGTAGGACCTGCCTCAGAGACCCATTCCATATGTAGTACTGCCCCCTGGGCCAGTCCATATCAGTATCTCCACATGTCACCTCCCTACGGGTAGGATGTGGTCTCCGTAGCAACCTTTTTGCTGGGGCTTTGGGAAGGTTACGACCTTAGCGTAGCTTTTGTGACACGCTGCGGCTTGTCAAAAATTGCGGCGTTACAATGAGGGTTACGTACGTAACCGAGACGTTACGCCTTCTTTGTGTAAACATTTGGGCGGTGTTAGGCGTTTTAGGAGGGCGTGGACGAGTCTTAACTTTTATAAAGAATATCTCTTTGGGTGTGAGACTTTAGTCTTTGCAACTTTACAGATCTTATATATGCACAAACAGCTTGTAACACTCCAAAGACAAAGAAAATATAATATATAGGCCGCCTGTCTCATTAATGTTAGTCTAACAATAAGGCCCGTTTCACACCACAAACATGAGCGGTGCATAAGCAGCGCATTTTTTTTTTTTTCGACGTTCATGTTAACAAATGAGTGCATTCACATCGGGAGCAGGAGCAGCATGTGAGCGTCAAGCAGGAGCATCGCGTGAGCAGCGCTGAAGCGATGGTTTCGGCGCCGAGTCTATTTTTGCAGCACTCCTCACGCTCAATTAAAGTGACAGCACACTTTTGATGGACAAAATAAAAATGATTTCACACAAAAAGTGCTAAAAATGCACAGAATAAGCATTTGTCTAGCGTGTTTTCACAAGAATTGGAGTATGTCAGAAAAGAAAATGAAGAATCAAAAATATGTATAGAAGATTTACCAATTTAAACTTGTTTTTAATTAATCAGTTTGGGTTAAAGTATTGTGTAATGTAAAAAAAAACATTTATAACAATATATCGAAGTATGACTGAAAAGACATGATCTTTGTCCCATTAGGGTAAATAATTTTTTGGAAAATTGTCTGAAACTTCACACATTCAAATGCATTTTCCCTGTCTAGAAAGAAGTCAATCAGTGTCTTAGTGTTTCAGAAACATTTCAAAAACTTTATTTACATTAAATTTCTTTATATGCTACTAGATTTGTATTAGAACTCGTATGTAAAATTGCCTGGAACTCGAGACAGATTCAAATGCAGTTTCACTCTCTGGAAAATAATGTAAAAACGTCTTAGTGTTTCAAAAACAGTAGTCTAACAATGTTTTAGAATTTTAAACAGTATTGTAACAATATATTTTTGTTTCAAAAACAGTTTTAGAATTTTAAACAGTATTGTAACAATATATTTTTGTTTCAAAAACAGTAGTGTAACAATGTTTTTTTTTATTTTTTAAACAGTAGTGTAACAGTGTCTTCATGTTCCAAAAAACAGTACTTGTAGCAATGTTTTAGAATTTTAAACAGTATTGTAACAATGTCCTTTTTACAAAAAAACAAAAAACAGCAGTGTAACAGCGTCTTGATGTTCCAAAAACAGTCCTGTAACAATGTTTTAGAGTTCCAAAAGAAGTATTGTAACAATGTCTTAGTGTTTTGCAAACAGTATTGTAACATTGTCTGTCATAATATCTTGTAATTTTATTGGCTAAAGGAGATGTCATGTGACATTACTAATATTTAATTTTATTAGCTGAATATTATTAGTGTTTTTTAAATGGAATTGTTTTAGAATTTTAAACAGTATTGTAACAATATATTTTTGTTTCAAAAACAGTAGTGTAACAATGTTTTTTTTTATTTTTTAAACAGTAGTGTAACAGTGTCTTCATGTTCCAAAAAACAGTACTTGTAGCAATGTTTTAGAATTTTAAACAGTATTGTGACAGTGTCCTTTTTACAAAAAAACAGCAGTGTAACAGCGTCTTGATGTTCCAAAAACAGTCCTGTAACAATGTTTTAGAGTTCCAAAAGAAGTATTGTAACAATGTCTTAGTGTTTTGCAAACAGTATTGTAACATTGTCTGTCATAATATCTTGTAATTTTATTGGCTAAAGGAGATGTCATGTGACATTACTAATATTTAATTTTATTAGCTGAATATTATTAGTGTTTTTAAAATGGAATTTTCTTAGCGTCATTTATAAATGATGATGCCCCATAGAGGGTTAAAGTTTATAACTGAACAACTTCTAAAAACAAATCTGTAGTTGTCTTTGTAACGAAATATGCAGCTTTGGAGCCGCTGCTGTGACGCTGTACAAATGCTTCCAGTGTGAATACTCTCACGAGTCTGCAGCTGCAGTGATGCTGTAGTTACACTGACGTGAAGTTGACACGAAGCTCACGCTTGCGGTGTGAAACAGGTGTAAAAGAAAATATCGCTGCTCTTGATTGAATTGCTTTTGTAGTTTTAATAATCAATTTATTTGTAATGAACACACTGAAGGGATTTTTACATTTTATTATTTGTTCTTCTTACATGAATGCTTTTGTTTAGATGTAAAATGAAAAAAGTAATGGACTATTTGTTTCTTTCTTTTGTTTATTTATTTGTCGGATTCCAACAAATCATACATCATTTTGAAAGTCTTTTAATGGAGAATATTCAAATTAAAATTAAAATAACTCATTTTTTAAAATTTGCTCATTGTGACTCATTTTGCCAGCATTGGTCACATATATAACCTTTGTAAGCGCTTAATATGCAATTATTGAGTAATGACTTTAAAATAAATTTTCTTGTATATTTTCAAAAGTTAAAAGAGGCACTGAAAATGCAGATAAAAAAAGACAGACATGTACCACAAACGTTATGAGAGATTAAAAATAGATGGACTTTCTCTTAAAGGGGTCATATGATGCTTTTTTACAGATCAGTATTTGGTGTAACAGAATATGTCAACATGCTTTAATGTTCAAAAAACACATTATTTTTAAAATACTGTACATTATTGTAGGTCCTCTATGCCCCGCCTCTCTCAAACGCTTCGTTTTCTACAAAGTCCCTCCTTCCGACAAGCGCAGTCTGCTCTGATTGGCCAGCTGACCCAGTGCATTGTGATTGGCCGAACACCGCAAGCACTCGTCGGAAATGTAACGCCCTTTACCATAATCGCGAGCTTCATCTTTCAAAATAAATGTAAAGACAGTAAATAATGTCATTAGTTTTACCATCAGTTCAAGCCCGAAAGGGGAACAGAGTCGTGTGACAGACACAGTGATGAAGCTGGTATGTGTTTGCAGTACACAAGCCACGGTTAAGACAGCTGACTCCACTGTAATGTGACCCTGTCTCTCTCTCGCTCTCTCTCTCTCTCTCTCTCATAACTACCACCATGCTCTTATATACAGGGTTAATTCTATCATATTGGGTGCTTTTCTTCATTAGGATCTCCTTATCATGAGAAACTAGAGTAGTGTAGTTGTAGCTTAGGCATTACTATATATGATTAGAATTGTGCCTGTAAAACACTGTTATATCTGTTGTTGATTTACCTTGTTTTTCTCTCTGTTCCTCTGCCGTCTCTGAGGATTTCTGTTTATCTGCGAGGAGAAAGAAAAGATGCGTAAAGAATGAGATCCATAGAAGGAACAGATAAATATTAAGTGAGATATTATTACATAGCATTAAAATGGTGCTAAATCATGTAAGTCCTATTAAAATTACTATGAGGTTATAACATTACCAGTCTTTACTAAGATGTTAGTATTAGTAGTGTGTGTTATCATAGTAATGTAAATGTACCATTTCCTGGAACACAAATGTACACTGTTTCATTAAAGGTGTTTCCAGCCAATGAAGGAGCATTTACACTTGCACCCGTTTCAGCATTTATAATCACGTTGACTCCAGTCTGGTAATTTCTCTGGACTGAAGCAGAGTGTACTGAATGAGAGAGACTGATTTATGATTATTAGACAGACTTACTTGCATTACAACATCATATATAATGGTGACATTCATTCCTTTATTAAGGTTCAGTATCCATGCACACTTTTAAGTATAGTAATACAAGCATTAACACATTTTTTTATTCTTTCTGATACTGTTGGTGAGGTGTTCAATGAACCCATTAACTGGAATCCACAAAACTAGCCACCATCTTTGATCTAAACAATAAAACTTCAATAAAAAAATCCTAAAATGATTGTCTAGTACTCGCCAAATACAAAACAAATGTAAATTTCAACCAGATATTTGGTTTAGTTCAATGTTTCACAAACTGGGGTCCGCAACAGTGCTAAGGGATAATATACATTTAGCAGATTGCTATGCAGAAGAAACCTCTGAAAATGCATGGTTCTACACGTAGCACGGGCAAGTTTGTGAAAGGACTGCCAGTGCCAGGTAAGCAAACAGAACATATTATAATCAGTGTTGCTGTCTATGGAAAAAGTTTGGGAACCACTAGTTTAGTTTAACAGTTTCAGTTGGGCCTTTTTTTGTTTTGTTTTTGGGTTATGTGTCTTTGCTTTTCTTCATGTTCGATAATAAACGTCCAGACATGGATTCATGACCCCAGCTCTAAGTCTTACTGTTACGTTAAAGTTACTTCACCTTGTTTTTTTCTCTGTTTCTCTTCTGTCTCTGAGCATTCATGTTGATCTATGAAGAAAGAGATGAAGAAAGAATGTTAAAATATAAACAGAAGTTACAGATAAATATTAAGATATTGTTCTGTAGCACTAAAAAAGTGTCTCAACTAGATGTTCTGAACTTCAGTCGTCTGTAACAGGAACCACATCTGTAAAATGCATTTCTGTTTTGACTCTCATCCAGTGAATCCAGATTCTGCTCTGACATCATCTTCTGTCACTGACTCACTTCTGCTGGACAAGAAAAAGATTTGTCTTTTACTACACTAGCACTACAAAACTGAAAACAGCAGTTCTACAAACATAATGATGGCCTTGCACTGTTTTTGCAAGCAGCATCTGTAAAAGGCGTTTCTGTTTTGATCCTCATCCAGTGTATCCATCTGCTCTGACGTCATCTTCTGTCACTGACTCACTTCTGCTGGACAAGAAAAAGATTTGTCTTTTACTACACTAGCACTACAAAACTGAAAACAGCAGTTCTACAAACATAATGATGGCCTTGCACTGTACTGTATTAGTATTTAAATTAGGGCACAAATAACTACTCAATGACTAAAGTAAAATCTGGATAGGCTGATACATTGAGGACTGTTGGAATGCAGCCTAAATCATTCAGTAACAACATCCAGCCTGTATGTGATAATCAGATCTAATCATATAATTAAAAATGTCTTGTTTTTAAGGTAATTTTCACCACAGTGTCACAATAATCTCAGAGTATAATCTAATCCACAATAATCTCAGATTGACTTTTGACTTCAAGTCATATGGCTCTAGCAGGCTTTAGTCTTTCAGTCTAATCTTATAGTGTTTGTGTTGGACAAACAGAGAAAGCGGGTCGTGAGATGGGCTGTGGCTTGTGTGTTTCTGAAGGCAGATTTTTTGCTATTGGCTGTAGCGACTAGACCAATAAGACACACAATTATTAATTATATTCAATGAATAATCCAACAAACCCCTCACCCAACAACAAAACAATTTTTCAAGGTGTCTGTGAAGAACCCCCTAAGCCGCAACTGAAACCCAGATGCAGAACAGGGCTGCGTTATCAAAAGCATTGAAAGCTAAGATGATAGTAGAGACCATTGGTGGCAATAGTTCTACGATCTACCTAGAAATTACAATGTTTTTGGGAAATGCAGCCCACACCTCTGTTTACCATGGCAACAAAGATGAATCAAGATAAGACTGTTTTACATCCCAAGGTAAAACAGAGAGTGTCCCTCTCACTTCATTCAGTAGTGAAACAGACACATAATGCCCATAAAAATAACTTTCTATGAAGGACCATGCATATTCCCAGGGCATTGGGCCTCATTTATCAATCTAACGTAAAAACGAACGCAGATCCGTGCGCACAAATCAACTTACGACAGAGTTCACGTGGGATTCATGAAACATTCGTATGCCGCCAATCTCATCGTACGAATGATCGCACGTTGGTTAATGTGGCGGCAGAAAACAATGTCAAAAAGAGGAAGTAATCTTATGAAAGAGAAATTAATCTTACTCCAAAAACACCCGTTAACCTTGTAATTGCAAACAATTAGGCTACATTAATTTACATGTATATTAAAATACTGGTAAATATAAACAGCCAATTTAGTTCCCCTCACTCTACAACGAATATTTTAAATGTAACGGTATTCAGAACAGAACAAGAATGAAAAATAAGTAGTTATAAAATTATATTTTAAACTATAAAATAAAACGCAAATTAGGCTATAGTGGCATTCATTATAAACAGCATACAAATGTCAAGCAAAACTGAAACGGCATTGGGCTCACGAGCCTGTCTCATACCACAAGAATCCAAATGTTTCCATTTTTGCCATATTTGTAACATTTGTTTGCATAACTATTATTCATTATGTAGCCTAAACATGGCTTTATACGTCAGTCATGTTCTAATATCCGTGTAAAATCCTTCACACGCGCAAAAATGTTTGTTTGGGCGCTGCACGCTGCGGACCTTTTAAAATAAACTGTAACATTTATGTTTGGTTAACTGCATTTTAGTTTGATGATGAATGGCTGAAATGTCAGGCAACGCTAGAACTAATGTTGTTTGTGTGTGCGTGAGGCGCCTGTGCGATCAGATGGATTAAATCAAATAAAGACATAAATAAAAATGCATTAAGAGTGTCACAAAAACGAGCGTAGCCTATACTTGTTGCACAGTGTTTTTTTTTTTTGCTTTTGTTAATCTGTTAATTATATTATAGCCTATTATATATTTTGTGTGATCCTATTTATTTTATTCCTTTTATAGACTTAATTTCTGTTTTTCTGTTTTCATGATGTGACGATTGAATCCTCATGATCTTGTTTACGCTGCTATTCGCGCATATAAA